GGTCAGAGAGCTCCCAGGTGAGTGAACCAGAATATTTTCAGTGCCCGGTGCTGGCTGCCAACCCCACAAGGGCAGAGGCTCCTTTGTTCAGCACCTCACCCTGTCTATCTCTACATCTGCTATTGGTTCATATCTTTTAATAGTAATCAAATGGGTAAGTGGGTTTGACTAATCAATTATAAGAAGGTCATGAGAACCTCTGCTTTATAACCAGTTGGTCAGCACAGGTAACCATCTGGACTTGGTGATTGGCATCCTGAGTTGGAGGGAACCATTGGAACCTCCATTTTGCAGCCGGTCCCTCAGAAGTGCAGGCAGCGACCTGGGCTTGCCGCTGGCTTCTGCAGTGGAGGCAGGTGCCGTGGGGCTGAGCCCTTGACCTGTGGCGTCTGCCGCCCTGTCCAGTAGACGGCGTCTGAGCTGAGTGGAGGCCCCCGGCTGGTGTCCAGAGCACTGGCAGTTGGTGGTGTGGAAATGCCGCCGCCTCCGCATTGGAATTGGGTGACCAGAGCTCCTTTTAATCATTCTTGGGAGGTTCATTGTTTAATACTACAGAGTATATTCCTTAAATTGAAGTGGGACTTAAAATTACAAGGACTGATCACTGACAATTCAGCTTAATGTTTTTTAACTCCAACATTCTGATTTGCATAGATCTGTATTGGAGCCTAGCGATCAGTAATTTTGAAGAGAACCCCAAATGATTCTAAGGTAGTTGTCCATTCGTCACTTTGCAAACACTACTCTAGGTCAGCTCAGTTTTTTAGAATATTCTTATACAAGACAGTTTTTTTTGGTTGATCATTCTTATCTTTGATAATGATATCCTGCTCATGGCACTCACTTTTTAAAGATTAAAATAAACACAGGTTTGTTATTTTAAGGTAATTTAAGTTATGGTAAATAAGGTTAAATTACAGTATACGGTAAAATTTGACAAATGTTAAAGCTGCCTTGGTCTAGTTTGTTAAGTTTATAATAGCCAGTTAGGCTTTTACCTTTTATCCAGACAATCAGATTTCCCCAGGCTAATACTTTGGATATTTGTGAATATCACAGATACTTTTTACATCACAAAGTACATAAAACTGAATCTGACTTCACTGTGAGTGGACTGCTGAAGCTCCCTTTTACTTCTGTGTTGCAGTGAGGTCTAGGAAGGGTGCTTGCATAAGCAATAAAGCCAAAGGTCACACATGGCCTGTTTTGTTACTTTGCAAGCAGTTTTCCTTTCAGCATGGTCATAAATATAGTGGGCTACCTGCCTTACATTATGTGGTGTCTTTCTGAGATCTCTTTTTTTCCCTGGCCCTGCAGCTTTTACTGTCTAGAAATTGGGTGTGTATGGAGTCACACGAAAAGCATTAATATTTCTAATACTTGCTTGGTCTTATATTTATTTTTGCAAGGATAGAAATTAAGTCTTTCATTTTCATTTGTAATAAATTTGAATGGCAGTCCTTGGAACACTAAGCTTACTGCGTGGCGCTGGTGAGCTTCCTCTGTGCTGTGCTTGGCTGTTTCTCATGCTTCTTAGGACAGATAACTAGTTTTTCAGGACAGCGGATTCTAAGTCATGGTTAGAGTATATAGAGTAATGATATAAAACTTGAAAATCATTTTTAGGCAAATAATATTGTCTTATATTTAGAGGGACGCCATATGCAACTTTGGGTGATTTATAAATTATAAATAGGCAACAGATGTAACTATATAAAATAAGCTATCTGACTACATATTTTGTCTTAAAAATGACCAGTTATCATACTTTATCGAATGTGACATTGTTAGGTGATTACACTCCATTCCATTTAAGGTACTTAAACCTTCCAAAGGGTTCATAGTTTTGTAGTTCTTGATGAATTTAGTGTATAAATGGTTCATTGGGGAGGGAAACGTACTAATATTTCAGGCTCTAAAATCCATATGTTTGTGCTGATCTTGGTTAAATTTCATAATCTTTATGGGCCCCAGTTTTCCCAGATGTGAAATGGGTCCAACAAGATTTTCCTACCTCATAATCATGAGTAGGAAATTAATTTCTCATTAATCATGAGAATTAATTGGGATAGCATTTGTGAACTACTTCATGCAGTACTCAGTAGTTCATTTGATTGTGAGTATGTTTTATAGTTGTTGTATATGCGTTCTTCACATTCTTGACTCATATCCAAGTTTTTCTTAAATTCCACAGAATAAGGATCAAATCCTATAGTCTCTTTATTATAGAGGACCGTCTTCATTGGTTTCAGTTCTGCTTTTCCAGTCTCATCTCCTATTATTCTCCTCCTCATCCCTTCTTCCCATACTCTCTCAAGCCTTTGACCTTGTTACCACTGCTGGCAGCAAACTGTTAAAAGTTTAAGTACTGTAAGTACAATAAACATAACAACCCTCTTCACCTAAGAATGCAGAGTCATTTGATATTTCCTGTTACCTTTGAAAAATCCTCCTCCTCCCCACCTCAGTCTCTATAGCATTCTATATTATTGCAAATATATTACTTCCCTTTATGGTGTAATACTTATTTTACTGCACAGCCATCTCCCACATTGGGTTTTCCTTGCTGAGTAAAGGATTATTTCGTGATAAAAATGAGTGAGTAGGAAATCACACCACTGACCTAGTTAGAACTTCGTGCAAAGCACAGGCATACAGGCTTGGATCCTCAAGGTGCACAAACTGGGGGACACCATCTGTTTCAACTCTGTGGAGCAATTTGACTTTCTCCTTTAGTGGGGGAAAGAAAAATTATTCCAGTTGAATAAATGCTGTGTATTTGGTTGGCTCTTAAGATATTATGTATATCAGATGTCTAAGATGAGCACAGTTTTACCCCTCCTTATGCTAGACTGCGTCCTGTCTCTTTCCTAGCCATTACTCTTGCTCTGCTGTTCCTCTTTCAAGGCATAGTGTGTGTGTGACAGAGTCTTAGATGGAAATGTACATGCACACTTGAGGTGTACTGTATCATATTTCCTTTTGGACAGGAAATAAGAGGATTTCAGCTACCAGCAGCGTGATTGGAATGATGTGTACCGTTATTTCGGAATAGAGTTGAATCCAGAGAGGAGAAAGTAAACCCTTCACAGGAAGAAAAAGTCCAGTTTGCGCTGGGAACAGCGGGAGTTAATTGCGGTCAGAAGGATCTACCACTTTGGGGGGATATAGCAGATCTTACCTCTTAACTTTTTTGATAAACTGAGAAAGAATCTAACTTAAGAATAGGATTCACCCTACGTGGTTAGAAGTTTTTAAATTGGTCTTGGTGAAGAGTGATTAAAATGGTAGCTTTCACCTACTTGTAGTAAAACATATTTATTTTTGCCTAACTTTCCTATAATCCTTGGTATAAACAAATCACTGGACATGTCAAACTCTGACTTTACTTGGGAGCAATTGGAAGCTTTCGGTTATAAAATCAGAAAAGCAAATACACAAAGAACAAATCCAGAAAAACACAAACAGACCCTTTCCTTAATTTTCATGTTGTCTGAAATAAAGCAAAACAAACTTTACAGACTCAATCACTTTATTGTATACCTGAAACTAAGAACATGTGTAAATCAACTATACTTCAGTTAAAAAAAAAAATTTAATAAACTATACAGTGGAGAAAAGACAGTGTCTTCAGTAAGTGGTGCTAAGAAAAGTGGACAATTCATGTAAAAGAGTGAAGTTACAACATTCTTGAGCATCATATCCAAAAATAAGCTAGAATAGGTTAAAGACCTAAACGTGAGACCTGAAGCGACGAGAGAGGAAAACAGGCAGGACGCTCTTTGACATAGGTCATAGCGATTTTTTCTTTGGATCTGTCTCCTAAAGCAAAGGAAACAAAAGCGAAAGTTAACAAGTGGGACTTAATTTCACAGCAAAGGAAATCATTCACAAAATGAAAAGACAGCCTACTGAATGGGAGAAAATAATTGCAAATGATAGAATCGATAATGATAACATCCAAAATAGCACAACTCAGCATCAAAAAAAAAACCTTATTAAAAAATGGACAGAAGACCCGAATAGACAGTTTTCCAAAGAAGATATCCAGTGGCCAACAGACCTGGGGAAAGATGCTCAGCATCGTGAATTAGAGAAATGCGAAGTCAGGCTACAGTGGGATTAATGAGACTACAGCTCTGACACCTGTCAGAATGGCCATCATCAAAAAGACCACAAATGACAAATGTTGGCAAGAATGTGGAGAAGAGAGATCATCTGTACACCATTGGTGGGAATGTAAATTGGTGCCGCCACTGTGGAAAAGAGCATGACACTTTCTCAAAAAAGTAACAATAGAGTTACCGTATGAACCAGCAAGTCCACTCCTGAGTATATATCCCCAAAAGGTAAAAAAACTAATGAAGAAAGATAACATGCACCCCAGTGTTCATAGCAGCACTATTTACAATAGTCAAGACATGGAAGTAACCTGTGTCCATTGACTGATCAATGGAGAAAAAAGATACGCTGCGTATGGACAGTGGGATACAACTCAGCCATAGAAAAGGAGATTCTGCTGTTTGCAACAACATGGATGAGCTTGGAGGGTGTTATGCTTAGTGAAATAAGTCAGAGAAAGACAGAATCTGTATGGTGTCACTTATGTGGGGAGTCTAAGAAATAAACTAGTGAATATATAACAGGTAAGAAACAAGCTTACAGGTATAGAGGGAAAGCTAGTGGTTACCAGGGAGCAGAGGGAACGGGGGATGGGCAAGACAGGGATAGGCGATACAGACTACTATGTATAAAACAAATGATCTGAAAGGGTGTATTGTACAACACAGCAGATACAGCCAATGTTTTTTAACTGTAAATGGAATATAACCTTTAACATCTGAAACTTAAAATATACATCAACTATTTCAGTAAGAAAAAAGAAATAGAAGTTTTTAAACATTTCAGCAGTATTTGTATTATTCTCGCAATATACTTTTTTCTGCGTATTTGTTCAGTGAGACATTTCTGTTTTATGTTTTTATTTTTAAACAGCTGTCATGGATGCACTGGTGGAAGATGATATTTGTATTCTGAATCACGAAAAAGGCCACAGGAGAGACCCAGTGACTCCAGTCTCAATATATTCAGGAGATGAATCTGTTGCTTCACATTTTGCCCTTGTCACTGCATATGAAGACATCAAAAAACGACTTAAGGATTCAGAGAAAGAGAACTCTTTCTTAAAAAAAAGAATCAGAATTTTGGAAGAAAAGGTAATTTGTCTATCACTTTCATTGTGTTTACGACTTAATAATTCAAAGTATTTGAAATTTTAAATATTTCTCTGCTCTGTCTTCCATGAGTGCACCAGATTCCCAAAGATAAGTCACTGCTGATCTCAAAACCCTGGGCATTTTACTTGCCCTTCTGTGTTTCACATATCATAGTGCTTGGTGGATGGGTGCAGAAGACGATTTAGCAACATGAAGGGATTCAAGTTCAAATGTGTTTCTTGCCTCTTTCGAATTGCCTTACCTTCCTAGCTGTGTGCATTTCATTCAGGATGTTTAAAGCTATGCAAAAAATGATATATCAAGAAAGGAAGAAGTTCCTGGAACTTTGTTCCAATATGTTTAATAGTCTTTTCGTCTGGACTGAAATTTCACCAGGACTGACATCTTTACCTCAGCATTCTCTTTTGTTCTCAAACACACGTTAATAAGAATGTGTTTAACTGATGAATTAATGTCCTCTGTTTATACCTTTCCCATGCAAAAACTGTATATCCTAAATGTTGCAAAATACATAAGCCAGGTAGCTGATTCAATTCTAAATCCTCGAATCTGCTTTGCTTATGTATTGGGAAGCCTTCCTCACTCATCATTTACTTTTAAAGTTTAATTTAGTTCATGTTTCTTCAGATCATAGTTATGATCCTCAGCTCTTCAGTGTAGTGTGTTACAGACAGCAGCTTCCACAAAATGAGAAGGAATGATCTAACTGTAGAAACTTGAGGATGGAGTTTGGTAGAGATTGACTCATTTGCAGTAAGTAAGAAAAGGAGGACTCAGTTGTAAAAATAATTGATTTCTTAGTATTCATATGAATTTTCTTTAATGACTATTAAATTTGTGACATACTGGGATAGAGTGAAAAAAGATAACATTTTGGAGTTTGTAGTTAGGTTTATTTTAAAAGTCAATAGAAAAGTGTGGTAAGTAATATTGGAAATATTTCTGTACTTTGTGATCAACAATCCTAATAATTTGTTCTCCAATAATATAGAACTTAATGAACTAACACTTCTATTCCTTAAAGTGTCAAGTACACACTAAATTGATACTCACTTTTCCGATGATGGAAATTAAATAGTGTGTTCCAGCTTGGAAAACAGAGAAGCGCCATAAAAGAATGATGTACTGTTTTAGTATGATGAATTATTATAAAAGATACAGCAAAGTATAATTTACTGATTAGGAAAAGCATAAAAGATTTTTTAAAATATCCATTCTATGCTTTTTACTTTCTTAATCACTAAAGCGTAATTGTGTAGAAGTGAAATGTTCACTTAGTTGTAGTTCAGCCCTTATTCGCTGCATTAGTGTAATTAAAGTGAGATGTGGAGCCATGAGAAGACTGATTCATTCGCTGATATGGAACACCCTCTGAAGCTTTGTCCTCTAATTTTACGCCTTCAGCTCCTAGGCGCACGAAAGGGTGAAGACACCAGCTCTGTGGGACGAGAGCAAGTAAACAAAGCCTATCACGCGTACCGAGAGGTCTGCATTGATAGAGACAATCTGAAGAACAAGCTGGATCAAATGGTAAGTTGGTCTGTAAAGAATGGTGTCTATATTGAAAATGAGTTTTCTCCTTCAGGAGGTTTAAAATTAGAAATGAGAGATATTTACATTTATTAGACAAAAAATTTGCTCAAGGCAAAAGCAGAAAAATTTTTAGTAGGAGTATTTGTTACTTCTATACAAAATAAGTAGTCGGTTTGTAATGATGTTTAGGTCTTTAAGTATATCTAACACCACTAACTTATTTTGAAAAATTGTGACTCAGTAGAGTTTATCACTGTTTGTTTTTTTTTTAAGCCAGTGAAAAAATGTCCTAAGTTAGAAAAAGAGATTGGTGAAAACTGCATTGTGTTGCCCACCTTGCTTTTAAAAGGCTGGAATCTGTTTTTTCAAATCTGCCTAAAAATGAATATATAATATAATACCAACCTTTAGATTTTATTGACTGTAATGTCGCATTTTCCCTACTTAACTAGAATAAAGACAACTCTGAATCTTTGAAAGTGTTGAATGAACAGCTACAGTCTAAAGAAGTAGAACTCCTCCAGCTGAGGACAGAGGTGGAGACTCAGCAGGGTAGGCCACTTACTTGTTACAAATATTCTACCACAATCAATAGGGTTTTCCACTCATGTGTGATAGCCATGATCAGTTTTCTGTGTCTGTGTGCTAAGGACTTATTTTTTCAATTTGGGGGCTTATGTTAATTTCTGTGTTCTGCTTTTACCAAATATCAAATCCTTCTTAACTTTTCCTTAGGTGTAAATTGCACTTTTCCTAGAGAAAATTTGATGGTTGATTCAGGGCTGGTTTGTGATGAAGTAGATGAAGAAAGGAGTACAATTTCATCTATAAAGCCTCTTGCCCACATCAGATACCCTGTCAGTGGAGTAGTTATAGTTGCTTTTTTCTTTGTTTTAATCCAGTTTCTGAAGGTTGTTAAAATGTGCAGCTGAGATGCTATGCTGAGAAGTTAGGAGTGGGGGGTGGGTACTAGCCGCCCCCGTGCAAGCAGGCTCTGATGAAACAGCTCAAGACTCGGCCTCTGAGAGACCTAATGGGAGGTTGAGGTGGGATCTCTCATGGCAGGTGAGTGGGCCTTTTTCTATGGACAGAGTCTAAGGAACTAAGTCCTGAGTTCCTTGATAAGGGTGAGGGTTCCTTATTAAGGGTATCCCTTAATACAGATAAGGGTTAGTCTGTATCCAGTGTCGTTTCATTTGTACAGTGGAATGTTTATGAATGAAATTATTCAGAAGTCATGTTGTAGGCCTGATGGTCAAACTTTATCCTTTCCACAAGGACTGGATGGAATGATTAGCTGAGCGAACCTCAGCTTACTCATTTCATTTCATTCTGAATCACTGTCTTAACCTTCACATATATATGTGATTAATCTGTCATTTCAGCATATGCTTGATAACATGCTATATATTTTAAAGTTTCAGGCTGACAAATTTGCTGTTTAAACAGAAAATCAGGACTAGGGGTGATGAATACATTCTATTGTATTGTATAAAATAAGATTGCTAATATCTTAGCATAGACACTTGAAAGTACTTTCTGTCTTTCAAAAACTTACTAATTGTAGATGTTTTATATTGGTTTTTCTTTTACCTCCATTTTACTAGCATAATCTTTTTTGAACTGCAACCCATGTAGAAGTCAGAAATAACAATTTTAATGTCCATCCTTTTTGTAGTGATAAGAAATTTAAATCCTCCTTCATCAAACTGGGAGGTGGAAAAGTTAAGCTGCGACCTGAAGATCCATGGTTTGGAACAGGAACTGGAACTGATGAGGAAAGAATGTAGAGATCTCAAAATAGAGCTGCAGAAAGCCAAACAAACGGTACTACAAAATCACTGAATTGAGAAATCCAGCGGGCTGTGTGCATCCTATGTAGGATTCATAACTAGGTGTTAGATCACAGAGTCAACATAAATTGTAACTACTTAGAGAATTATATTCTGTGAAAATTCACCTTTATCTTCCCCTTTAATCATTTTTGCTAAAATTTGGTAACTGTATACTTTTATCATAATTCCAGAATTACATTCTTTTGTTGTTTAAAAGCTAATTTTTTAAAAACCTTATTAGTTAATTAAACTTGTTCTTTCAGCTTCCTTTCCTTCAATCTCCTTAAGTCATTTTTTTCTCTGAACTCAAGTTTTAAGTTTTCCATTTTATTTAACTTAATAATTTGATTAATTTAGACATACAAGAGACTTGATTTTTAGAATTATTAAAACAAAACTTTTGAGCATTCACTAATTCTCAGAAGCACTTTTGGAGCAACTTTAGTTTTCAGCAGATAGCTGAGAATTCAAGAATTAGGGGCAGGCAGGGAAAGCAAAACAGAAAACCCTGCTGAGCTGAGACGGTGTGTTTAACCTGAAGTCATCCACTGAAACACTAGTTGCCTCGCAGATCATTCAGAGTTCGTCTGCTACTACAGCGACCCAAAGGGGAAATACCCACTGTAAAAACTACTCTCAACTCCTGTTAGAACCAAAAGAATTTCTTTTCCTACTTGACATCTGAAATTGGTTTTCCTAGCTTTGCACCTGTGGCTGCATACACAGTTCCTCCAGCAGCTCCAGCATCTTGTCCCACAAGCCCAGTTGCTACTTTTTTAAAAAGATGTGCTTGCAAGAAAAGATCAGCACCTTGAAGCTCTGAATCACAATTGTCAGCATAGACATTCTACTTGAAATAATTCAGTAGCTTTAATAAATAATGGATATCTCCTTATCAAGTAGAAAGCAGTACCGTAGAGTCATAAAAACTTGGTTCTTAATTGTTGTATTGCTTATTAATTGTGACATTAGCAAAGTCATTTAACTGTTGTAACTTGACACTGACTAGCTACTTTTTATGAAAGTTAAGTTAGGTAGTATGTGAAGCAGCATGGTGCCTAGCACATAGTTTATTCAATAAGTAAATGTGTTTCAAAAAAATGTAGTCAGGTTAATCCAGAAAAGCGGCACTTTAGGGGGTCTGTCTGTGTAAGGGGTGTGTCTGTGTACCTGTGTTACAGTTAAGTTCTTACTATTTAATGTTTTCCAGTAGGTGGCGCTAGGGGATTAAATTTGCTTTTAGGTTAATTCTTTCACAAATCACAGAAGGACTTTTAAAGATAGAAGAAACGTTAGAAATCACTTGTCCTACTGCTGATGAAATTGAATCTCAGAGACTAAGAAACTTTAAGAGTTGAAGGTGAGATAACGGAGGAGTTTTTCTTTTTTTTTTTTTGAGAAAGGAATTTAAGATGTGGTCCTTCCTTCGTAAGAATGGCTAGGGGAAGGGAAGTTTAAAGTAAAAAATGTTCACAGCCAAAGATGAACCAGGGAAAGATGGAGTGGAAATTTATCAAGGGTTCCAAGTTTAAATCCTGGTATTGTGGGATGTGTACATTCAGTCGTTTCAAAGATGTTGCTGTCAGAGTCCTCTTGGAGCCTGGGAGGCAAAGAGCAAGCCAAGGAGAGGAGTTATGTCCGTGTGAATAATCTTACTCAAATCTTCTGCAGCCGCACTTAAGAATACATTTAAGATGGTACTTCCTGTGAAACATTAACATCTCTGAAGTATGAAATAACATCCTACATGGAAAGAATAGTGGAGCTTTGGCGGGCTTACTTTTTTTAAAGTACTTCATGAGCTCAGTAGATAGTGTTTGATATTAATGAGGTCACGGTTTCAGGGTCAGTTCCACTATGGGCCTTTTTTACTTTTTCTGTCCTCCAGTTTTCAAAACATTTGTATTCAGAACAGTGGGACCTTTGAGAAAAAGACACTAGGACCGAAGTGTAGGGAACCCTGGTCGTATGGAGTTGGTATAGACGTTGGTGGTGGCTGGTTCCAGCCCCGTTAGAGAGTCACTGTTTGCTGTGTGGATTGGAGGTTCTGAGCAGTCCTTAAGTATAGGAACCTGTTTAACTGGAATAGTGTTTCCCAGGATTCTGTAGCTCTGAGCCTGTTTATGCGAAGCTTCAAACATCAGATGGCAGGAGTTGAGAAACAGATCCATCACTGCTTTTAGAACATGGCAGCTAGTAACTGGCCAGGACAGGGTCTTTGCATGTTAGAGACAGTTCCTTTGTGCTTTTTGTTACTTTACATTAGACTTTTCTGAATTGTTAGGTGATAGCTGGAGAAATACTTTACCAACCCAAACTTCTTGGTGTTTGTTTTTTTTTTTTTTAATTGGTTTTAAAAAACAAGGTTTCCATTATGCGTATATATATGAGTCAGACACAACTTGGCTGCTGAACAACAAATAAGTCTATAATTTATACTGTAGTTAAAATGTGTATTTTTAATTAATTATACAGAGAAACTAAAAGAGACTTGATCTGATTCATTTCCTGTGAGGAAAGGAAAAGGTCCAAGATTATGTCCTTTATTCACGGTCAGACTTCCTCTGACTCAGGGACCAGTTCTGTTCCCCGTTCCACAGGGCTCCTTGAGATGCAGCTAAGTCATTCGCAGTATTTAGTTGTTTTCTGAACAGTCAGATCCAAAGACACTTTAACTTCTGTAGTACATTTTCATGATTTACATTCTCAGATTTAGAGGACTCATGAATTCCTTTTGTGCTTTTTAGTGTTCCCCTTTAAAAAATATCATTAAATGATACACAAAATGGTAAAATGAAGTTTTGTTCTTAGTTTATATTGGCCACTTCTGCTAATAGAATGGGTGTCTGTGCTAGTCATTTTTATTTGTTCTAGACCTCGAATTGAAATGCATTGCAAATAGCATGTTATAGAATTATCTTAAATGTATTAAATTCACTTTTAAATACAGTTTATAGGTTCTTTTTGTCATCTGTAACCTGAATTACTAAAACTTGAAAGTATATAAGCAATCTATATAAAATCCTTTCCCTATTGTTTTCTTACGGAAAGAGGACATTTATGCTGTTCTTTTAAACAGTAACCTGTTAAACTTGAGTACTTTTTTGTAATAATACCAAAAGTGAAATACCAACAAACTTCCATTTTCTGATGGAATTCACTCAGCTATACCTTGAAGAAACAGCAATTTGATAAATGTTACCATTTTTTGAGTACAGATTTCAGGTTAGTGTCTTCAGAAATATATTTTGTACAACTTAAAGGTCTTTTATGTGAAAGCAAGTGTATTTTTTAAAGAAAATTAAAGCATTAATGACTTTAAATAATTAGAAATGGTTTAGAAATATCTGGCACAGATTTGGAGTTACTTTATTAACATTGAATATAAGACCTACTATGTTACAGATGTTTTCTGTAAAAGCTGAAGCATGTGTAGAGTAGGAAAGTACTGAGAATAAATAGAAGGTAATGATTACACCTTTTAAACTGTTTTTTAAACAATGACAGGCTCCATCTCAGGAAGACAGTCTGAACTGCAGAGATCTGCAAAGACTGAGCATTTCAAGGTAAGAACATTCTTCAGCATTCAGAAATAACACCTTGTTCTGCCGACCACTGTGTTAGGTACTTCTTTTATGATTTAACCTGAAAAACAGATCAACACTCTTGGAGTACTGCATGAAATCTCTGATCACTGTGTATTTATAAAAATATTTAACTGTTCTTAACAGTGGGCTTGAACTTAAGCAGTAGAAAGGTGCATATTATCATGATGCCTTAGATAAAATTTTGAACATTCAGTACTGTTTGAGATAGAATATTAGGGAGCTAGCTGTGTAGAAGTATTCTGTAATAAATTCTGAGTTTCACATGAAGATTATGCATTTCCATTATGTGGCAGTATCACTTTGTTTTAGGGCCAAACTTGGTCAGCCTTAGTCTTTAATGTGACATGACTTTTAAGAGAGCTGTCTTCTTAGAATAAGACTACAGGTAGCTGTCAGGGTGTATGTATGTTTCTTTAGCCCTTTGTTTCTTAAGCACATATATCATTTTAATTTCAGTAACATAAGTGCATTGTTTTATCTGATGATTTTTTTGTGCTGTGTTAGCACCCCCTCTTTTCATGGACACTTCCACCCAATGAAACACACACATTTGACTTTATTGTTAGATCATTTGGCTTCCAAAATTTACTGAATGATCCCGTACCTGTTCCTCCTGTCAAAAAGCCAATGGAGAGAAACGCTCAGTAGGGAAAACAGCTGAAGGAAAGCCCGTGCAGCCGCTCTTCAGATGCAGGGCCGCCCCTCTGCAGGTGTGGGGGCGGGCAGCAAGCATGCAGGCGGCATAGGCCAGCGTCTGCTCGCCTGCTGTGCCTCCGCTTGGTGCCTTCCACCGTTACTACACTCACAGGAATGTTTCCTTTTTAAAACATGCGCCTAGTATGCACTGTCCTTGTGAATTCTTTTTGAAAGATGTCTTCTGTGCCAAACTTACCATTTTTCCTGTCAACCTAGGTTTCCCCTTATTATTGTATTTGTCATTTTTATAAGCTTTCTTAAACCATTTTTTGGAAAGAGGCAGGTTAGAGTAGGTCAAATAAAAAGGGCTTATGTAAATAGTTTCTTAGAAGTACATGGTATAGAATAGACTTCTGTATCCGTTCATGGGCAGTGTTACATAATTGGGGTCACTTCTTTTGAGAAAACGGAAGAAGCTGCCCCCCACCCACCACAAAGATGTGTGTATGAAGGCAGCATAGCACTGACAAGACGGAAGGCTCTGCAGGCTTTGGAAGAGGGAGGCAGCCCCAGGAGGCGAGTCTGACTTCTGAGGCTCTAGGACTCTCTGACGGTGGCTTCGGAGAACTGTTCCGAGTTTTCTGAAGCTCAGTAGTAGTTCAGGCGCTATCAACTGAGAGAAACAGATTTTAGAATTAAGTTCAGCCCAAGGGTTTTTATGCGTTAAAGAACTGTATGATTAAAGCGCGTCCTGACGGCTCCCTGTGCTCGGGCATATCTGTTTTTCTGCAAGTCCATAGCAGTGTGGATTGCGGAACTGACCACTTTTTCGTCTTCTGGTTAAGCAACTAGAAAATTAATAACCAGATTTGTGACTTACCTTTGGTAAACAATATCATGCATAAAATTTTATGTAGTCTCATTCCTAACTGCGTTTTATCTTGTTTTTTCCTTCAGTTTATCATTTGTACCTATGTCCAGGTTACAGTCCTGTTTTATTAATCTTTGCAAGTTACATCATCCACTTTTAAATGGAATAATTCAGATGATAAATTAAGTCTACTATATTAGGAGAGAAGTACATGGCATGTTTCCATAAAACCATCAACTACCAGTTTATGTATTTTTAAGGGTTGTTTTCCAGTTATTTGGAAGACTCTCTTTTGGAACACCTCTTTTTTTTTGCATTTCCTCCATCATGTTGGCAGGTGAACGAGGAGATACAGTATGGTTCCTGAGTGAGCCTTTGAGTTACTGGAGGCCTTTTTATGGTCCTGGTTCTGTACAGCATCATTCAACGATAATTGCCCTACCTGTCAGAAACTTGGCCACTGCCCTGCCAGTGTGCTGGCTAGAGCTACCTGTAGGTTATTGCCCTCAATTCTTAAGCCAGATCTAGATGTGGGGTCACTTCAGATGCACATTCTTGGTTTCCAAAATAGGGGCTATGTTGGTGTTTTTCACACTGCTATGTTGCCTTAATGATCGTGAAATTTTGTGAGTTAAGCATTTTAAAAATAGAGAATGAAACAGAAGAGAACATACAAGAGTGTGGGTTGCAGGGTGAAATGATTGCCTGCTGTGCCTTACAACTAAAAATATTTGAAAAAAGCTTGTTTGAGGAAATCACGGTCGTCAAAACATACTTCACTAAGTCCTGAGCTCTTGGCTGAGACTGTCCCATACTTTCATTTTAATTCCTCTGGGGAATGTGACAGCTTAGTAAATTTTCAAAAGCTAAAGAAAAATAGGACTGAAGTAAAAAGATCTTTCTTGTACAAGGCACATTCATTTCAGTATTAAAGAGTTGAATGGACAGTGTCAGTTAAGAAAATTGAGCTTTTCCAGTTTTTACCATGTAAGCTGGACGCCTGCCCCCACTTGAGATGTGGATAAGACAGGCTTCACTATGGTGTGGAATTACATACTGGGACCAAGAAGGTTGTGTTGGCGGTCAGTGTGATGAAGATGAAGCTGCGGATGGTATGAAAAATGTGACTCTAAAAAGGTGGCAGTCACGGGACTGGATCACTTAGAGGCCCTTTGCACAGAAGCTTGTCGGAGTCGGGAAGTCCTCCTGCCCCCGCTTTCTTGAGTCCAGCGAGCGAGCCCCCAGGCCGCCAGACTGGGGTGAGGGCGGGTGAGCTGCCTGTCTGGCACGTGGGACCTGCCCAACCACCACCCACTGTTACCCTCATGTCACACCTGCTTTGTTACTTACTGTTCTCATGCGGGATACTCTTAGTGTTGCATCTCACTGTTAAGGTTGTTTCTATGAGTTCTTTATAGACAACTCTATCATTATGATTCTGCAACACACTTAGAAGACTTTAATATTAACTGTAAAGAGTAACTGCCATTACTTTGCTGTCCACAAGAGGGAGAGCTTACACTTAGTAATCATTGGATTTTTATATCTGTAGTTTTCAACTCAGCTGACATTCAAGGCAAAAGAAAAAGATTAGTAGACGTATGCTAAACTTGGTGACCTAGTTTCTAGTTTAACCTAATTTATAAGCAGTCTTTACTAAACTGAATTGGAAAATATATTAGAGCTGCCCTAACACCTCTATTATTTTTGTTTCTCTTTTACTTTATTCAAGTAACTATGTTGAATGATGAGGTGTTTGATACTCCAGTATCCACACATTGTCTTGAGTACTGTATTTGCTTTTCTTTAGGTCAGGTACTGATTTACCATCGCAAGTCAGTAATAAATGCTGTTTTTAAGCTGTATGATTCATGTCATGAGTGCATGTATCAGCACATGTACGGTGTTTACACACACTTAGCTGCTGTGTAACGTGAGTAACTGGTGCCCAGAATTGCAGCCAGGAACCCACAACTCTTCACCCTTAAGGCAGTGCCTGCGTGAGACACGCAGAGTGGCACACAGCTCAGCGCTGACTCTTGTGATTCTCTCACACCTGTCAAAAACCTGCAAGAATACCTGTGTCTTTTAATAGACTAGTGGTTAACAAATGATGTTTACAACAGATTAAAACAAGTAGATTATTCTCAAAAGCAATGTAAAGTTTATTCTCCCGCTTCTATTGAAGAATTATAGTCTGAATGGAATGGGAATATTTTGACCAAAAAGGTATGTAGCCTTACATAATGAAAATAACTCTTTTATTATATGTTGTTTTCATAGTTAGGATATTAGATTTAGATATCAAGAGTGTTATCCTTGAAGTTTGCTCAAAGGTTTTTGTTTATAGCTAGACAAAAATTGAACCTGAAGTGACATGTTTGATTTGATTTGATTACTAAAATCACACGAATATTTTTAAGAGACAGTAGTGCTTGTTTGAACAATATGAGATCAGTAGTTCTTACAGTTAATATTTTATGTATTCTCGTGCAGCAAAGCAAGAATATGCATTGAGGATTTCAGTTTATTTAGTTGGCAGCTAAGAACCTAAAAAAAATCATGACTATCCAAATAAAAATGCTTAGTGGAAGATGAAACTCAATAAAATGAGGTTTAAAATAACTGATGTATGACTTCGCACGTGACTGAAGAAAACACCCTCGGCTACGGGGATGAGGGGCTTTGTGAGGTCCTTGTTGTTGTGACTCTCTGCAGCTCCTTCTCTCTGACCGGGAAGTCGGCAGCCCCTCTTGTCTTGTGCCATCACGTCACGTTGGTTTGTTTAGAGCCAGCAGTGTGAAACAGCCCAGTCAGGCATGAGAGAAGGGAACGCATGAAACCTCGATTTTATTTTGATGTGGGCTTGGGTATACACTCAGCAATTGGTAACAGCATTCACAACTCAAAACAATAAATAAAAGATAAATATATTAATAAATTTAAAATCTGTACATGAATGAACATCACTGAATTCTTGATCAGACTTGCAAGTGAAGAACAGTCCTTACTATTAAATATATTAACACCACTGCACCTTGTAGGCTATCATAAAATCTGAATACTGAAAATTATGAAACGCGGTTAAAATACTTTTTATATTACCATTCTGTTTAACACAGTTCAGTTAATTGATAAAAATTAGGTCATTATTGTGAATAAGATTTTTTCATTTGTTATATAATGCTCTAATATTTCAGCTAATATTTAATGGGGAAGTTTTATTTTGTTATTTCAAAACTAATTTGAGCAGAAATGCAGGTAAGTTCATGTCTATGTTAAAAGTTTTTCCCTTCTGTCCAAATAGAATAATAACCATTAAAAAATAAAACCCTGTATTTCAGTGACAATATGCAAAGTGCATACTGGGAACTGAAGAGAGAAATGTCTAACTTGCATCTGGTGACTCAAGTACAAGCCGAGCTACTGAGAAAGCTGAAAACCCCAACTGCAATCAAGAAAGGCAAGTCAGTGTTTGCCGGAAATCCCTGATTCCAGCCAGACTACCCGAAGAGCAGCTCTCGATCGTATCTTATCGAAATCTTATCAAATGAGTCTGAGAAGCCCAAGTATATGTACTCTGTGCACAGCCACCCATTCTCTGCTCTGGCTTCAGCCTTGTACTGGTCAGCTTCACACATAAAGGTGTTGCTGATGTGTGTTTCTTCAGTACTGTATTCTTTTCCCCTTGTGGCTTTTTTCTCAGCCAAGTGTTGCTTATGTGTTCAAGGCTGAGGTGTTAAGTTTGCTCTAGTTGACCTTTTACCACAACTCCTATATATATTAAAAAAAAAAAAAAAAGACAGCAAGACACCAACAGCTATTTTCATTCCAGTGCTTCAAAATACACCAAAGAACTAGCTCTTTACACTGTTTTCAGAAAGATAACTCTAATTGGTTATTTGGTTATTTCCATTTTTGTAAACTTAATTTTTCTCTCCATAAAAGATAATTTTGAATGGAGACTAGATGCTATTCATTTAGCCCTTCTAACCAAACAAAAATTTTCATTGCTTTTTCATATTTAACTGCTTAGCTGACTAAATCTTTTGAGTTTTGTGTTAACTAGTAGTGAGTACTTTGCCAAAGCTACGTTTTATACCTCAGAGAAGAATCAGTGCATTTGTACCTCTCGTTACATAATAGTTGTACTTCTGTAACGTTGTGTAATGTAAATCTGAATGTCCTAAACTTTAAAGGCATGAGAGTAACTTTTTAAAAAAATCATTACTTTAAAATTATTATTTGCATCTCAGATTGTTCCTAAAGAGGGCACAAGAGAATTATTTTATAAATCCTTCTCTGGACTGTTCACTGTGGGGGCGGGGGACAGTGGGACACAGTGGGACAGAAAAGAAATTGAGAATTCCTTTCCTTTTCTAAAGTTAGTTACTTATGGATCAGCAAAATAATAAGGTGCTTTGGCAGGCCCCAACTTAATTTATGATTCATTCTGTTTTCAGATTTTCCAGCAGCCAGGGTTACATAGGAGACAACTTTAAGTTGATGGTAGAAATAGCACTTCTCTTGAGAGAGTCTCATAGAGTAATTTTTCAGTGAATTTTCCTGTAACTCTTCTAAGTAGAACTTCCAAAAAGTAATAAAGGAGAAGTGCTGTCTCCTCCTTTGGAAACGGCTCACTGTCGTGTCCCTTCTGAACTGAACTGTTAAGTTTCTAGCATGTTTCCAACAACAGTGCCAGGCCCAGGGCCACCACTCTCCACCACAGAACTCCGTGTTCTGCAGAGTGGACAGAGGTGAGCTGAAGTCACCTTTCCTCTAGAGCCACGTGTCACCACAGTCCAGAAGCTGAGCACTGTCACCTCCCATGAGAAGGGGCAGCAGTGAACTTACCGTCTCATGTGGTTCGGTTTCTTTCTTCTTTAAAACTGGAGTCAGGCATTGACTGCACGTGGTGTGTCTCAGACTCAGGGTGAGCTTTGCTTCCCCGGGCAGGAGAAGGCAGGGGGATCAGGCCCTCGCTGCCTCTGTGCTGTCTGTGGTCTGTATTCTAAGCCATGACATGTTACTAAATACATTTTTTTTTTTAACTTGAACTATATTGTGACCATAGCAGAATTTACATTTACCATTTACAAGAAAAAAGATGACTTTATAGCTTTTAAGCTATTTTATTCATTAAAGCCTTGTAATATATATATATATATAAAAACTTCATTTAGGTCTCAACAATTCACAATATAATCATTCCTGGAAAAATTTACTTTTGGACCACCTTCCAGCTTTTTAAAATAGTAATATTTTCAACTTCACTGTGATGAGGACAGGGCAAGATTACAGTGTCCATTTTGCAGATGAGAGATCAGCTATTTACCAAGAGGTAAATTTGAACTGAGAGGATCTATCATCCCTCTCAAGTCCCAGGGCCACAGTGATTGCACTGACTTGGCAATGTCCATTTCCAGTTCTAGAATCAACCAGATCAACCAGATGTTTACTATTTTATGATTGTAATTGCTAGACAGCTGATGCTTAGCCTGTGTTTTCTTTTCAGCTTGCGCCCCAGCAGGATGCATGGAAGACCTAGGTAAAGACAGCACAAAACTGCACTTGTCGAATTTTACTGCAACTTACAAAAGACATGCCCCCCTCTCACCAAATGGCAAAACTCTGTGCCATGCCACGCCTTCCCCCCTACAAGGAGACGCAAAGGTTTTATCGGAGAAGGCAGCTCTCCAGTCGTGGACAGATCACGAGCGATCCATTCCTCATGACGGCACAAACTTTCAGGACAACAACTCTTACAGCAGAAATTCCCTGGAAGATAATTCCTGGGTATTCCCAAGCCCTCCTAAATCAAGTGAGACGACATTTGGGGAAATGAAAAGTAAACCTTTGCCTTTACCCAACCTGCCACCACTGCATTACTTGGATCAACATAATCAAAACTGCCATTATAAACATTAATTCTGAAGAGATTCATGGTGTTCTCATCAGTGGTTTTCTGGGAAAATCATTAGCAAACAAAGCAGATTTTGATTAAACTTTTGGAGAGTTTTTCAGTATTTACATTTGCACATAATGTACCATATTATCTAGTTGATTTTTCAGTATGGAAGAACGCTCTCCAGCTCCGTATTCTGGCTAAGAATCAAATATGTGTTAGTACTTAATAAATTAATAAACTTACGGTATTTGAAAATCACAATTCTACCTTTGATAATTGTAAATTTCTGCCTCTACCATTGAGAATGGAACTGAAAGTTTTCAGACATGGTTTTACAAAGTGTATGAAATGCCTAACATAAAAATAAAAAAGGAAACCATTATATCAGAGAAGAGTCATATTAAGTTGAATAAAGGAGTAGGTGGAAATGTGAATAGATTACATTCCTGCTGACCTTTTAATGTGTACACATAAGAAAACTGTTAAGAGTGGAACAGTAGTATCTGGTTTACTCCATCTATATGTGCTATTGTGTCTGAAAGTATAAGATTAAAATCATTTTTTAATCACAATATTGATAAAATTTGAAGCTGCCATCTGGATTTTAAGACTTGAAATTACCTCATTGCAGCCAACTCTGTCCTGGTATTAATACATCCCTCAATTCTTAACTGGAAAAAATGATGAAATAGTTGAAAAGCTGTATGTGGTATGGATTAAACTTGGTCACGTACATTATCCAGGTAGAAGTGGGAACAGCGTCACAAAGGCTTCCGTCTGATCTTCAGCATACAGTGAAAACTCCACGGGGTATGTAACTGTAAGGCCGTTTGCTCCAAAGGGTCCACACCCGCTATTAACATAGAGCAGCTTATTCATCGGTTAGACTTTATTTTGAAGTGTTAATGATTTGCTTATTGAGAAAATGGTTTTTAACTAATGAGGAATTTTAATTCTAGAAACCCAGTTCTGTGCTGTGTTGATGTTATGATGGCGCATCCCCGGTGATGAGGGCAGAAGGAGGTGACAGGAGGATGAGCGGGTTGATAAGACAACACCGACTCGGTGGACGCGAGTCTGAGCAAAGTCCCCTGTGGGAAAACGGACGTGGCTACAGTTCACAGGGTCATGAGGAGTTGGACATGACTTAGAGGCTGAACCACCGGCCCCACCCAGGCGGCTCGGTGGTCAAGAATCCACTTGCCCACGCAGGCAGGATCCACAGGAGACGGGGGTTCGATCCCTAATGCTAAGGATGACTTCATCTGGAAATTCCTCTGTATTTCAGGGTGATAGTATTAAGAATATTAGTAGTAACTGTCTCAGTTCCTTCATCTTTTGCCTGAGATAAAGCATTGATGTTAGAAGGCTTTTATCCTTTTTGACAGTTTCAAACACCTTGGACTTAAAAAGAATATTTCAGATCTCTCATACATTAACTGAATAGCATCCATATATAAACAGTGTTCACCATTCACCAGATATTTCTGTTATCTTCCTCACTTATTCAGGCTTGTCTGTGATTAATGGAGTTGGTGTCAGATGCTGGAATTTATTCTGACCAATGAACACAGCTGACTCAGGGGAGTATGATCTCCTGCCAAGTAATAGAACAAAACCCAATATGCATAAAACAAATACGAGGCTTCAGCTGAGGGAAGCAACTACCTGTGTAATAACAAAGCAGCAAAAACTCTTTCTCATGTGGCTGCATAGGCTGTGCATTGTATCCAATCTCTCAGGGTAGCTTATTGGTTTGCCTTTTTCAAAAACAAGATTGGTAATTTTTCTTAAAATGAGTCATATGACATAATGGCTTGATTAATGTTTTGAACAATGCCAAGACATTGTTTACTTAAACTATTTTTGTTTGAAGTGGATGTGAAATACTGTCCTTGCCTAAATATTTCAGGGTCACGTGCTAATTATTAAGACATCTTGTTAAATCAACTTTCGAAGAGACAGTGCTTTTGCATCTGAACACTAAGGTAGCAATCAAACAGGTATGCTAGAAAATCAGTGGCTGATTTTCCTGACAGTTCAAAGTGCTAAACAAATGATGTAAAACTGTAGGAAAAATTAACCCCCCAACATTTCCCCAAATGTACCCTTTATGATCGTTTCTGTTAATGGTAAGATTCAAAGAGAAATGAGAGAATGGCCCATCTGTAGCTTATTTGAAATGGAAAATTTTGTTGACTTATGTCCCACTAGCTGGAACTTACTCCAAAGCAGTGGTCCCCAATATTTTTGGCACCAGGGACCAGTTTCATAGAAGCCAGTGTTTCCATGAATAGGGTTGGGGGATGGTCAGGATGATTCAAGTGCATCACGTTTATTGTGCATTTTATTTATTTATACTATTACATCACTCCACCTCAGATCATCAGGCATTAGATCCCAGAGGCTGGGGACCCCTGCTCCAAAAGACTCACTTGAGAATTTCTTTCATCTCCAGGTGTTTTTCTTCTAACCGTTTTTAAAGTCTTTAATTTGTTAACAATATCGTTTGTTTTATGTCTTGGTTTTTTTGGCCTCGAAGCATACTGGATCCCAGCTCCTGCATTGGAAGGCAGTCTTAACCTTTGCACCACCAGGGAAGTCCTTAGTCTCCAGGTTTTTATAAGGATAACCCAGTTTAGCACTTCCATAACTCAAGAGTGAAAAGAACATTGATAACCAAAAAAGGCTCTTGATCCCCTCATTACCTAAAACAGAAGTTACATCTTCTCTAAAAGGAAACTGAAGTTCTGCTAGAAAGGAACCTAATTTGTAAGCAGAGCAGGGATGTGACTCCCTGCAAACCAAGAACCGGAGCAGAGGGGGAGAGTTCAGACCTCAACCACTGAAGGACTGAGTCCTAGGGAAACGAGCAGAAGCGCCTTCTGCAGAAGGCAGCTCGCACAGGGCAGAAGGCGGGGCACAGGAGAACCAGAGTCAGGGCGCATGCGCTGCGGGCCGAGGCAGCGGGAGGGGCGCCAGTGGATGGGAACCACCGGGACGTGTTTACACTCCGTAAGCTATTCTGTCCAGTAGCTGTGAGGAAGTGACATCTGCACAGATGAACTGTTCACATAAGAATGAAGCTGGCCCCTCTGACTGCAATTAAAATTACGAAATAGCCACAGGTTGTGTGTAGCTTTTCAAAGTATTTTTCCCTTTCTTCATTTAAGTCAGTAGACTGCACAACAGAAAAAGGGCCCCAGGGGAGCATGGGCTTGCTTACCCCCACACTGTGCTGTCTGCTGCCGTGGTCTCCCGCCTTTTGATCTGTACACAAGTGCTGCAATACCTACCCATGTGGGTGAGTTCCTCTCTTTCTGAGGTCCCCAAAATACTTAAGAGACTCCTGCACCTTACCTGATAAAGGTGCTGGTGCTGGGCACCGAAGAGCTTCCAATTTCTAGAGGGACCAAGTAGAAAAGGAAAATGTCTCAATTCTACTTAACAAAAGTGTAATTTACCAAGTTGCTATAAGTGGTAATTAGCTTGAGGGGAAAAGTTTCCTTCTATCTGGAAAATACAGATTGCAAACCAGATATTTTAGCCAAAAACCAAAAAGATTATAATCTTGTCTATCAGTTCATTCTGTTTCATAGGACTGGGGCCTAAGTTAAATCTTGTCCTAGTAGGCAGGAATTTCTATTTGTGATTTTAATAAAAAACATCTATTTCTGTTTTATTGACTATGCCAAAGCCTTTGACTGTGTGGATCACAATAAACTGTGGAAAATTCTGAAAGAGAGGAATACCAGATCACCTGACCCACCTCTTGAGAAACCTGTATGCAGGTCAGGAAGCAACAGTTAGAACTGGACATGGAACAACAGACTGGTTCCAAATAGGAAAAGGAGTACATCAAGGCTGTATATTGTCACCCTGCTTATTTAACTTCTATGCAGAGTACATCATGAGAAACGCTGGGCTGGAAGAAGCACAACCTGGAATCAAGATTGCTGGAAGAAATATCAATAACCTCAGATACGCAGACAACACCATCCTTATGGCAGAAGGTGAAGAGGAACTAAGAAGCCTCTTGATGAAAGTGAAAGAGGAAAGTGAAAAAGTTGGCTTAAAGCTCAACATTCAGAAAACAGATCATGGCATCTGGTCCCATCACTTCATGGGAAAAAGATGGGGAAACACTGGAAGCAGTGTCAGACTTTATTTTGGGGGGCTCCAAAATCACTGCAGATGGTGACTGCAGCCATGAAATTAAAAGACGCTTACTCCTTGGAAGGAACGTTATGACCAACCTAGATAGCATATTAAAAAGCAGAGACATTACTTTGCCAACAAAGGTCCGTCTAGTCAAAGCTATGGTCTTTCCAGTGGTCATGTATGGATGTGAGAGTTGGACTGTGAAGACAGCTGAGCACCAAAGAATTGATGCTTTTGATCTGTGGTGTTGGAGAAGACTCTTCAGAGTTCCTTGGACTGCAAGGAGATCCAACCAGTCCATCCTAAAGGAGATCCGTCCTGGGTGTTAATTGAAAGGACTGATGCTGAAGCTGAAACTCCCAACACTTTGGCCACATCATGCGAAGAGTTGACTCATTGGAAAAGACCCTGATGCTGGGAGGGATTGGGGGCAGGAGGAGAAGGGGACGACAGAGGATGAGACGGCTGAATGGCATCACCGACTCGATGGACATGAGTTTGAGTAAACTCCGGGCACTGGTGATGGACAGGGAGGCCTGGCGTGCTGCGATTCAGGGGGTCGCAAAGAGTCAGACACGACTGAGCAACTGAACTGAACCGAACTGATGTAAATACATATATATACATATATGTAAATACATATAAAGTACCTGGAAACTAGTTGCAGTGGCTGTGGTGAAGAGCTAACAGTCTGTATGGAAAAAAGAGCAACTTTTAATACAAAAGTTCAGCCTGCAACCAAATTACTGCATTGGGACAGAAAATTTTTACACTTATTACTACGTTACAAAATGGTCATTCATCCTTATAAAGAAGACTTTTAAAAACATTAAACTATTTCCAGTGGCAGAATTAACAGGTCATGGAGTGTTAATACACTTTAGGAAATTTCCTATTGAAGATGTAGGCAGGGACTTCCCTGCTGGCCCACTGGTTAGAACCCTCCCTGCCTGGGACAGGGGTATGCTGCCTGCTCAGGGTACTAGGATCCCACACGGCACAGGGCAACTCAGCCTGAGTGCGGCATCTGCTGAGCCCAGGCACCACTACTAGAGAGCGTGCGCCACAATGGAAGGGCCCACACTGCAACTGAGACCTGATGCAGCCAAGTAAATTAAAAAAAAAAAGATGTAAGTAAAACTAACTGATGTATAAGCACTTATCTATGTTTCCAAATAAGCCTTCACTACTAACAGTCATTGAAGTGCATTTACCTCATCCAAGACACTGTCCTGCATATTCCACTTACTGCAACACACAGTTAATCCTCACATCCACAGTCTTTGTAACTCTATGGAGACTACTTACATCCACAGCTGCTTAGTTATTAATAAAATGGTCAAGCCAGGCTCATGACCACCCTGCTACACTGCGCAGTTACTAACTCCTCTGCAGACTGTCCACTCCTGCTCCCAACCTTTAGTCACTTCTGGCTCCATGATTAGTCCATATATTGACAAATAATATTTGTGTGGCAACCTAAAATTCAGTGTCACTGTTAGAGAACTATAGTTGTGAGACCATCTATTTAAAATCCATTATGACCAGGCAAACAATGTCCCAGTTCCCTGCTTACTCTTATCAGTCAATAACTTGGAGGTTAAAAAAAAATCTTTATTTCAGATAAAGTTATTTCCATAATTAAGGATAAAGGAAACACACTTCCCTGAGTCCATTATTTCAGGTAACTGATTTCCATGAGCAACATCTTGAATATTTGCCTACATACTTGTGGGAAGCTTCTGTAGCCTTTTCTTGGTAGGAATTCCAGTTCTTCTGAATTCCTCCCTTTCCTTCAGGTATTCCATTTTGCATTCTTCATAAAAGGCTGGATCTTTATAGCTTCGAGAAGGAAAACAAAAATCTTTTAAAGCAAATCATTTTGCAAGCATGTAATAAAAGCCTGATTTAATAATAAATTCAGACATCCAGTTCATCAAGCACAATCTTTACAAGTAGGTTTTTTAGTAATAGTCATAAATTTATTATAAAGATGAGGCTACCAAATGAAAGGAAAAAACAAAAAACCTTAACAGTTCTTTCTTGAATAGCAATGTCCCAGGATAGGGCAGTGGGGAGCAGGGCCACGTCCTCAGGGGCCGGTGTGAGCAAACATCACAATGACATGCACACAGCATGCCATGTGGCCCACGGCACCAGGGAGAGACGGGGTGAAGAGGAGAATGGGGAGCTGGCGGGGAGACGTGTGAGCTGCATTTTGGAGGACCAACAAATCCCCATAGAAGGCCCACGAGGAAGAACCCACAGATGAGGGAAACTGAGCTATGTGGAGAACTACATGTAGCTGGTACCACGACAGCAGGTCATGGGCTGGAGAAAGGGCCTGAGATGCAGCTGGAAAGGCCAGGGCCACATCATGGCATCCATTCCTGCCTCATGAGAGGCCCAATCTGCCCTAGATGGGCACTGTTAACAGAGTGGCTGGGAGATCAGCTCGGGGCCTTGGATGAATCTCACCGTGTGGAGTGTGTGTGGCCTGTGGAGCACGTGTGGCCTGTGGAGCACACACATGCCAAGGGGGGCCAGGGGACAGCAAGGTTAGAGGCCGAATGCCCAATAAATAAACTACTACAATAATCCAGACAGGAAATGACAAGGCCTTATGATCTAAAGAAGTCAGCTTTCTGGTGAAAAGGATGCAGTGCAGCTGGGAGAGATTGGGGAAATGCAATCAGGAAGATCCTGGATCCTAGATGATCAGAATTGACAAGGAGCTGAGTTCAGTATGGGACCTGCAGGAGGAAGCAGAGAAATGCCATGACCCCCAGGAAGCACTGAATTCCACGGGTGCAGACTGAGCTTTCTCAGATCGAAGATGGAGAGGAGAACCCAGGCAAGTAGCTTTCAGGAAGAGGTTAAGGAGGAAAAGGTGAAGAAGTAGGCAGAGACAGTGGGGAGACAGGGTGAAAGGGGGTCTAGTAACAGAAAGAATGTAAAAGACACTTGGTGGAACCTTTAGAAACACAGTTCCAGGGGTGAGGGCAGAAGCCAGACGTGGTCACTGAGGGACGAGTGAGACGAGACAGGGAGAAATAAAAGAACAGAAAGCATCAGTGCCTCCCGTGTCACTGGGCAGAGATGCAAGAGGGTAGTAGGTCCACCCACAAAATGTCCACAGTAGATACAACAAAGCCGCCTCTTGTGCAAAGATGAGGAAACAGTATTTCTTCAAGTATGTTGAGACTTGTAGTGCTGGTGCTAAGTCGTTTTAATCGTATCTGACTCTCGGTGACCCTATGGACCACAGCCTTCCAGGCTCCTCTGTCCAAGGGGTTCTCTAGGCAAGAACACTGGAGTGGGTTGCCATTTCCTCCCCCAGGGTATCTTTCTGACCCAGGGGTCAGACCCGCATCTCATTGGCAGGTTGAGATCTCCTGCATTGGCAGACGGGTTCTTTACCACTGAGCCACCTGGTGGAGGCTGGTGCTCAAGCAGAACTCTTCCTCAGCAGCTCTCACTCCCTTCCCACAGTGTCCATCCCTCCCCTCGGTCTCTCCACGGCTCCTCTCTCTTCTAAGCAGCGGGAGCCTCCCCCGAACCCTCAGCCCCCCCGGAGGGTCTAGGACCTCTCTTCCCCTCTCAAGGGCTAGAGATGGCGGGATACTCCAATGATTAATGCTCACATGACAGAAGCTGAAAATAACACAGACGAACTTTTAACAAGAGCCAGCATCTACCGAGTACCTGGTATCAGGACCCTCCAGCCCAGCGCTGGAGAGATGTGTTCCCACGCGAGGAATAACCACCCTGCTGGACAGCGAGGGCCCGCCCAGGGCCCGGGAGAGCTAAACCCGGGGGGCCCGGGGACCAGCCTGCCGCCCTGCCCCAAGTCCTGCTCCCAGCTTCAGGGCCGCGCTGTCCCAACTAAGAGTAACAGGCACAATGCAGACAAAAACTGAGGTGTCAGAAGCCACTAATCAGGCGCACAGGGAATTCAACAAATTCAGCCACACAGAGGCAAGAGGTCCATATTCATCCAGGATCTCCTGGGAACTCCAGGGACCAGAACTCTTATTTCTCTAGTTACATGCTCAGGGCAGGTCTGGGCTCACAAGAAAGAGCAGCTGTTAGAATTGCTTTTATTTATTATTAACTTGAGAAAAGACATGGACTTGTAGTGTGTTTCCTTATCTATAAATGCAGACAATCAGTATTCTAAAAGAAGGTGTAAATCAATGTGTCCATTATTTGTTATCAAAAAAGAAAACACTTTAAGATCCTGATAATCACCACTTTCTTTTTATGTAATCATCTAAGAAGTAGCTAACATAGATGCTGGCAGGCCAGGCGAGCGGAGTACAGAAGGTACTGATCTGATCTGACCTCACAGTTGTCTGGTGTCACAGACAACTGCCAGCTACCTATTCACGAAAGCACTGCATCCGCCACGCTACCTGTCAGTAATGTGAGTGATGATGAAATCTGGGGAGATGAGCAGAAAGCACCTGCATTCAAAGAACTCCACATATTTTTACTTTAAGACTCAACAAACTACAATGAAGTATCAGTGAACACATTTAAGAACTATTTTTTAAAGTAATTTAACTTCAGAAATCTAAATATACCTTTGTTTCCTTCATTTGATTTATTACAACTCTCCTAGAAGTTAAATTATATTCATCCAAAAGATCCTAAGGCTGGTAAAATTACCTTTTCATTAAAGGATGAACATAAGTATAATATATTCGATAGATCAACCAGTTCATGAAAAGGCATTTTATTAAATCCTATGAAAAATCATGTATTTTTGTGGCTGACCTAATATTTTAATCAGATAAAATGCTGACAAACACACATAACTTGAAAAGACCCTTCATAAATATGTTGTATCACTTGTCTTAGAAGCATTAAAATTTTAAATTTTAAAATTAAAATTTTAGACTCAGCCAACAATATGATGAATCTGGTGGGGGAGAAATACAGAATATACGACATGTAGTGAGTTAAGTAACACACTCTTACCTCCAACACATTACACACACATACACGCAAGAACACAAATACCACGGTAACTACTTACTAAGAGGTGAGACAGTCTTTCAGTGCAGAGTTTTCCTTCCGGCATTTTACTACCATAAGGACTCCAGAGTCCTTGCAACACTTAGTGAAATCTGAAATAAAAAATTTGGAAGAGAAAAGATGATCTGTAATTACATCTCTATAACTTTAAACAGCTCTAAAATCTTCGTTCATGTAACATCTATGGCCTAGACTGTGCTTGTCCACAAAGACGTGAACGTGAATAAAAGGTGGTGGATCTGAAAGGAGGGAGGGGACCCCTGAGGCAAAAAAGGAGTTGGCTTCACAGTGACACGCGGAATGCAGAGACGAAGCAGGATTTCTAACTCAGACATAACTTCATTTTACTGCTTTGCAGACACGGCATTTTTCCAAATGGAAGGTTTGCAGCACCCTCCACCAAGCAAGTCTACTGGCATCATTTTTCCAGCAGCATTTGTTCACTTCATGTCTCTGCATCATACACTGGCAATTCTTGCAGTGTTTTAAACTCCTTCAGTATCATACTTGCCATGGTGGCCTGTGGTCACTGACCTCTGATGCGCCTACTGTAACTGCAGATGCGGAGAAAACAGCAGGAGAGCTAGGGTTAGAAGTGGGGCTGAAAGATGGGATGGACTGCTCCGCCTCCGGATCACACCTGACCCGAGAAGCTGCTTCTTAAGAATGAACAAAGACGGCGGTGTCCTGAAATGGAGTCTATTCCTGGTGAAGATGCTATCAACCCTGCTGAAATGACAACAGAGTATTTAGAATATTACATAAACTCAGTTGATAAAGCAGCAGCAGCAGGGTTTGAGAGGACTGACTCCAATTTTGAAAGTTCTCCAACCGAATCAAATGCCACCAACTGGCACACTGCAGGCAGAAGAGAAATCGTTCCTAAAGGAGGAGTCCTATGCAGCAAACTTTATTATTGCTGTCTTATTCTAAGAAACCCACCTCAACCTTCAGCAACCCCACCCTGATCAGTCAGCAGCCACCAACGTCAAGGCAAGACCCTCTTTCTGCAAAAAGATTACAAGTCGCTCAAGGATCAGGGCTCAGAGGAGCATTAGCATTTTTCAGCAATAAAGTATCCTTACTGAAGGCATGTACAGTGTTTTTTAGACGTAATGCTGCTGCACACTTCGTAGACTACAATGCAGTGTGGATGTAACTTTTATATGCTCCAGGAAGCCAAAGACGGCATGACTCGCTCTGCTGTGATACTGAGTGTTTGCACTGATTGGGAACAAACCCACAGCATGTCCAGGGTCTGTCCACAGAGAGGAAGCATGGACTCCACGGATGGACAAGGGCCCGCTGTGCAACACAGGCAGCTGCGGTCAATGTCCTGTGACAAACCACCATGGAAAAGAGTATTTTAAAAGGATACACGCACATATACACACACATACACACACGTGTGTGTGTGCTCAGTCACTCTAGTCGTGTCTGACTCTGCAGCCCCATGGACTGTAGCCCGCCAGGCTCCTCTGCCCCTGGGATTCTCCAGGCAAGGATACTGAAGTGGGTTGCCATGCCCTCCTCCAGGGGATCTTCCTGACCCAGGGATCGAACCCACGTCTCCTGTGTCTCTTGCATTGCAGGCAGGTTCTTCACCACTGAGCCACCAGGGAAACTCATAAACATATATATACACACACAAACACACACATATATATATATAATATATATATACCATATATTATATACCATATATGTAATATATGGTGTATTATATATACACCCATAAACTTATATATATATAAAACGGAGTCACTTCATTGTACAGCAGAAATTAACACACTATAAATCAACTATACTCCCAATTTTTTGTTTTTTTAATAAAGGAGTATATTGGAGAAGAAATGTGTAGGAAGACTAAAGGGGGTTGTATCAGACACAAGCCCTCCTGGGGTTGAGTTTCTATGACTTCTGATGGCATCCTTCAACCCCTTCACACAACCTGCCATGGTCCTTTACTTTGATCCCAGGGCTCCCATCCCATTCCCGAGTCAACTCTGAAGTGCCCCAGAATCCAAATGCTTTTCTATCACATTTTCATTCTGGTAGTTTGCCCTTCAAATCATACTGGCCCCCTCAGGAGCCTGCCTTCTCAGGAACCCCAACCCAGAGAACCCTGGTGCTGGAGTCCAGCCACAGAGGGCCTGCTGCTCAAGCCAGTCTGCGCTGGGTGGGACCAGCTTGCCCCTCAGCCCCTCCTGGAGACGGGGTGCGGGGCGCCCCTGCTCTAGCGGCGACTCTCCCCAGCTGTCTCCATCTTTCCCCTCCCGGGTGGTCTCTAGTCCCAGCCTCGGCCACCTCCCATCTGTAACCAGCCACGTCCATGTCAGACTTTAAAGTACGACACCAAGAAGCTTGTATCATCATTTAGTATCAAATTATCAGGATTCTCTTCTTACCCTCCGAGCTATTAAGGAATATGATTTACAATCATCTTAAGACAAGCAGGTAACTTCAGGAGTCCCCATGAAGACATGTAACGTGTAACCAAAGTGGCTTTAAACCACAGGCAAACTGAAAACGACTGAGATTTGTAAACGCACGAGAACTTCGAGGGGCTCTGCCGGACCCAGAGGCCTAGGGCGCGGACGTCTGTCTGTCTGCAGCATCAGCGCAGTCTGTGGGGTGCGGCGGGCGGAAACCAGGCCTGCGGGTGCGGGAGGAGCCTTCAGGGCATGTCTGGTCACAGCCGCGGGGCAGGGGTGCTCCAGTGCAGGTCACGGGCTCCGGGAACTAGCTCACCAGGCTCAGGACTGCCGCCATTCGCTCTGCGTCCTGAACTGAACCAGGCGTCCTTCACACTCACCGACACGCGCTCTTGTGGTCTCTGCGTCGACGAGCCGGGCATGTGGCCGAATCAGGGCGAAGGGGCCTTCCTGTGTCCTCTGCGACGCAACAAGGCAGAGCAGAGGCTTCCTGATGACTCAGGGGAAAAGAAACCGGCCTGCCAGTGCAGGAGACACAACTTCGATGCTTGAGCCGGGAGGGTCTCACATGCACAGCTAAGCCTTGTGCAACACGACCCCTGGGCCTGTGCTCTAGAGCCTGGAGCCACCGCTACTGAAGCCCGCGCGCCCTAGAGCCCGTGCTCCGCAACAAGAGAGGCCACCGCAGTGAGAAGCCCGCGACTAGAGAGGAGCCCCGCTCTCCACAGCAACAAAGGCCCAGAACAGCCAAAAAGAAATAAGCAAAATTGTTTTTTTTTTTAAAGGGGGAAAAAAAAACACATTTCTTTTTTAAAGAAAAGGCAAAGTAAATGCAAGATCAGTTCATTCTCATTGGAGGTCCTGAAGGGAGGCAGCAAGCCCATGAAAGTCCACCAACCTGCACTCTGGAAGTCATGAGCATCCTTACACATTAACTGTTCTCCACACAGCCTGATGGTTAAGACCTGCCTTTCCATAGGCAAGGGTTATGATCCTAAGCAAGAATTAAAGCATGAGCTACCCTCAAAAGGAGTGTGAACACAAAGTTGATCCAGAGGTGATGAATGTTCAGCGATGGTGACGGGCCATGGGTTTGCTCCTCGCAGCCCACTGTCACTCGGGGACCTGGGCTGGCTCACTCAGACGATGGAGTCCACAGTCCCTCGTAAACGTGTGCAAGTTGGCCAAACCCCAGTCCCTTTCCAGAAAACATGAATGCAAGGGCTCTTACCAACAGTATACTTTCTGAATTTAACACTCAGTACTCTGACACTTGACAAATCCACAACCGAATGCTCAGGCACTGACTTATGTTAAGATCTGTTTTCCCTAACGTGACTCAAAATGTCCTCAAGTAGGGAAGTGGCTCCAGATAGCATGTGTGTGTTCTGACGGCCATAAAGGCACAGTCTCTGCATTTTCACACTTGTCCAGATCTCTTCAGGAGTAACTGTGACTGGCCCGAAGCCTCAAGCTGTTTGTAAGGTTTCTGTCACTTGTTTAGCAACAAGATTTTAATGAGGATCCTTCTTTCAAACCACATTAGCAAACATTCATATGATGGTGATGTCGCTACAATGGTATTCTGAAACAGCCCAATTTAAATCATTTCTGTCTCTCAATAATAAGTGTTAAAGTGTTTGTACACCTGTAAATAAATATTCACCTTTACCCACTACAAAAATGAACTGTCATCCACTTACATATACCTTAATGTAATGCAAATAAATATCAGTAAAGAGTGAGAGTAGAGAGATGATTAAAAGTTATTCCAAACTTTAAAGAAGTTTAGGCTTAAAAACAGCATTCAAGACTTTTTTTCTTTAAAATGTCAAGAACATGAAATTCTTTCTTTTGTAAACCCTCCTTTTTCTGAAAGAAACCACTGAATATCATATAAAATAAACTATAGGTAAACATATTGTGTGAGCATGATAAAATCTGCATCAAGTGAAGCAAGGGAAAACAGAGATAAAGTCTTCCGCCAACTTTAGTCTAAGATAATGGGCAAAATAATCATACTGTAATTAAGTTCAAGAATACATAATTTCCAGTTTATATAAGAAACGACTTAGGGAAACTCCAGATAAAAGCAGTAAGAGAAAGTAATGGTTTGGAATTCATTGCTTTTCACTCATTTAATTTATGAACTTTGGAATGTATCTTAATATTGAAATAGCCACCATAATTAAGTTTCCTAATTAAGCCAAAGATGAGCAACAAAGTGTGCATGTGAGCAGAAAGACTGACCTTCCACACTTCATCAGTTTCAAGCGACATACAATTTTGCAGACACAGTCATCCAGGTAGGACTACAGCATTCAATGAGAGATAGCAATTTAAAAACATACCAGATTAAAAGAAGTAATTCCAATGTTTCACATTTCTGACCAGAACCACTCCTTTTATAATTCCAACAATTTATATTTTCTAAACAATCCTGAGCTTATGAATTTTTACACAGCTATCTTTAGACATAGCACTTATTTCTAACTTTCTAGTACTTTTATTTCCTCAATCAGGGAAGTACTTAATAAAGTACCTATTTTGTTTCCAGCATTATAAAAAGTAGAGCTGTATTTAGGTACCAATGTAATTTAGAATTTTTAACATGTAAGTTCTGTGTAATATTTCTGTGACTAAACCACCATCTTGAT